TTGCAAATAGTGTCCAATTAGTAAGTACATTATGTAGATGTTGCAAATTCATTAAATGTTGTAGCGTAAATGTAACACTTGAGATTTAATTTAAATGGATTAACAGTACTATTCATACCAACAAGGTGCATATCCTGTTAAGGAAGCTCATCTACTAAGAACTCCAACGTTAAGCGTGTTTGCACGGGAGTAGTCTTGAGATGGGTGATCCCCTGGGAAGTTTCTAACGGCACTCACTAGTGCTGGACTCGGTTCGGGCCAGGCCCGGTTCGGGCCTTGAACCGGACGGGCCTCGGTTCACCAAGAGGAGGGCCCGGGCCCGAACCGGCAGGCGACCGGTTCCGGGCCGGTTCGGGGCCGGTTCACCCGCCCCCTTTTTTTTTTTTTTTGATTTTTTGGCTTCTCTTATTTAACCCCCTACCCCTCCCCCTTAACCCCAAACCACCCCAAACCACCTCAAATGGCCCAAAATACCTAATCCAACCCAAAAATTAAAAACATTTCAAAAAAAAATTAAAAAAAAAATTATTCCGGCCCAGACCGGGCCCGAACCGGCCGGGCTGGTTCACCAAATAGAGGACCCGGGCCCGGAACCGGTATCCACCGGGCCGGTTCGGCCCGAACCGCCGGTGGACCGGGCCACCGGGCCGGGCCGGTTCACACAGTAACCGGGCCGGGCCGGTTCCGGTTCGGGCCGCCCGGCCCGAGTCCAGCACTAGCACTCACGAGTGAGGACAAAGTGCACGGAAAAGGTCCGGACAGTACTAGAGGTCCGGAGGGTGTGTTGGAGTAACTACCTTGGGTCCTATGGGGGCCTGGGTGTTACAGTAAAACTATGATTTATTTGTCAATCAGTGAGTACATTATGTAGATGTTGCAAATTCATTAATTTTGTAGTGTAAAACTATGATTTATTTGTCATATTGGATAAACATTTGCATTCTTTAATGAATTAAATGATGGTTGTAAAAGTGAAATTAATAATTAATGTTAGAAGCAATAAGAGAGCGACACAAACATCATCATTTTATAATTCAATTTTTTTACTTGAAACAATAGATTTATTATGGTAAGAAATACTACTACGTAGAAAGAAATTTGCATTAATTTCAAAAAAATGATAAAAGTATTAGTACTATTAATCACTAAAAATAAGTACTACAAAAAGTACTTATTTTACCAAACACTACCAACTTTTACTTTTTCAAAATCACTTTTTTCTTAAACACTACAACCTTTTACTATTAATCACTTTTCCCAAAATCACTTTAAAAAATCACTTTTTTAAAGTTGAATCAATTGCAAACACTCCCTAAATCTCCCAACGCCCACACCTTCTAGTGGAAATTAACATCAAACAAAGAAACACCATTATGTTCTCTCAAAGCAGTTGTCATCCAAGTGAAAAAATTAACACTTCAGAACTGTTTAATATCAACTTTTCGGCCGGGGCGGGTTGAATAAACCGAATTCAACCTTCCCGACAATCGAGCTCAAGAGTCAAGACTTCAACATACCCACTACTAAAAGTTTTTGAAAAGCAAAAGCAACGCACATCCTTGAAGCTGATAAGGGAACAAGATACTTCCATGTGATTGTCAAAAGGAATGCTTCCCGCAATGCCATTACCTCTATAACTTTGGATGATGGCAGTCTTACTAATTCCGTCGATCAAGTTGGCAACAAATTTGTAAAGTTTTTTGTTTATTTATTTGGTACCGAGATGGGTAGCCTTTCCATTGACCAATCGGTCCTAGGAACCAGCCCTTTGATTGAACCAAGTGTTCATGATAGCCTTCTTTCTCCGATAACTAGCAAGGAGATTAAAGATGCCTTGTTTGATATTGGGGGTGATAAGGCACCGGGGCCGGATGGCTATTCATCGGCTTTCTTTAAGAAAAACTGGAATGTTGTTGGGGAGGACGTGATTCGCGCGACTAAAGAGTTCTTTAACTCGGGAAGATTGCTTAAACAGATTAACCATACTGTGATAGCACTCATTCCTAAAACTAGTCACTCCCCTAAGGTCTTGGATTTTAGACCTATTTCGTGTACGAATGTGCTTTATAAAATTATTACGAAGATAATTGCGGCTAGAATGTCCCCCACCCTCTCGGGTTTGATCAATCAAGCACAAGGCGCCTTTGTTGATGGCCGCCTAATGTTTGATAACATTTTCCTCGCCCAGGAACTTGTTAGAGAATACAATAGGAAACACATATCTCCTCGTTGTATGATTATGGTGGATTTGCGCAAGGCCTACGATACTATCTCTTGGGACTTCCTAGCCAATGTTTTAAGGGGCTTGGGCTACCCCGATCGTTTTGTTGGGTGGATCATGGAATGTGTCTCCACCGCTTCATTTTCTGTGTCTTTGAATGATGTCTTGCATGGTTTCTTTAAAGGTAAAAGAGGTATTAGGCAAGGGGGTCCAATGTCCCCTTTACTCTTCGTTGTTTGCCTAGAGTATTTCTCTCGGCTTTTAACCATAAAAGCCAATGCCTCAAATTTTAATTACCATCCTCTTTGCGGCTCTTTGGGCATAACTCACTTGACCTACGCGGATGATCTTATGCTCTTTTCTAGAGGGGACAAATACTCAATTGAGATATTGGTCAATACTCTAAAAGAGTTTGGGGACGTGTCAAACCTAAGAGTTAACCATAATAAATCCAATATTTTTGTAGGTGGGGTGCATGACTTTGACTTACAAAATATCCTTGACCTCGTGGACTATGGTCGGGGGGAATTCCCGGTGAGATACCTTGGAGTCCCGCTTGCACCGCTCAAAGTCTCCGTTGCTCAATATGCTCCTCTTTTGGAGACGGTTAGTGATTTTCTTAAAACTTGGAATACTAAGACCATCTCCTATGCGGGTAAGACCAAGCTCATTCGGCACCCAGATTTTTTTGGGGCCACTACAACCGGCCTTTTTGTTGGAAGTATCTTGTTCCCTTATCAGCTTCAAGATTGGAGACTAATATTTGTGCTATTATTTGCGGTTTGTATTTTTGATTAATTTTATTTGAAAATAAGTGTTAAAATATGAAAGAACAATGACATATTTCAGGGCTTAAAATTACTCAGTTTTTGTCTAGCGAATCAGATTGATTTATATGAGGTGGCTAATTCTATGTCTATTCCTAGGGCATACCATTGAATCTGTTGTAAATGTTTGGACATTGTCTAGTATGTATTCTTAATATAAATATAAAAGCCACTCTTTTATTTTTTAAAAAATAATATTTCTCTTTCTAAAAAATTGTGTTAACTAATAAGAAATGTGCAACTCGATTTAGAGCCCATTTGATAAAACCGCTTTTGGACTTTTCGGTCTTATGAGTAAGTTCTTATGAAACATGTAACTTTTGATTGATTTAGCGCACTCAGTTTTGTAAAATTAGAGTTACATTTCTAACTGAATAGGTTGATAAAATATAATCTGTATTTTATATACTACCTCTGTCCCATTAACACTGGAATATGAGAAGGTGATATTAAAGACAAAATGATCAAAAGAGAAAGATAAGACAATTTTAGTGGAACGAATCGAAAAAGAAAGATAAGACAATCTTAGCGGGACGGAGAGGATTTAAACATTTAATAGTTTTTATTAGGATGTTTTTATTGGACTGAAATTTGCTGGTCTGGTATGGTCTATTCTATTCTATTCTGGTCTGAACAGGTCTTGCTTAATCTGGTAAATGTTTGGTATCTGTTTATTTTATAATTATGGAAGTCGGTCTTATTTGTTGGCAAATTATACCGTGGGATCGGCCCACCATCCGGACGGTGTGCCGATCCCAAAATGGAGCCGTTTTGATCATTAAAAATCAATCGTCCTCTCCTGACTTGAGCTCATCTCCGTCGTGAAAGCTGAGAGCGGAGAACTCACTCCAAACCAAAGATGGCCGAAGTTGAGAGCGGTTAACACACCGATCGGCCTCAGAATCACGGCACCGTCGTCCTATGATGTGCAACTTGAGATTTCTGAACTTAAAAATTAAAGAAGTTGAATTAGAGCTCCTACGGGTGGGATTGGACTTCTGCAAAGATAGCCATCCATGGTTACTGTAGGGCAGGCGATCGGGAATGAGTTTCTGCAAGGGATTGAGTTTCTCTGAATTTAGTACTGCTAAAGGTGAGGTTCGATTTTGGGATAGCTAGCCATCCATGGAAAAGCTACTGGAGGGGATTGAGATTGGGATTGGGATTGGGATTGGGATTGGGATTGGGTTCATGTAGGAGAAAGCCAGAGTTCTTCGTAGTTATTCCACATTTTTATTTATCATAGAAAAGTTAGATTTGTAGTGGAACGATTTACGTTTCCATTTATCTCAAGTTACATATGTATTAGCACGAGTTACATAGTCAACTTTTCTCAGTAAGTTACATCTTACTTAAACGTGATTTACATTTTTCATGATTCAAGTTACACCCAATATAATGCAAGTTATGCAACAAAATAAACCTTTGTTGTTCAAAGAAAAATTATTTTTAAAACAAAAATCATTTTTATAGCCCTGATATTAAAAACAAAACATATGCACTATTTATGTAAAATAAATGGGCAATTAGACTCCTTTTTTCATTATTTACATTGAAATATATGTTATGTTCCGTTCTAGACCACTTACATTTCAACTTGATTGAAGTTACATTTCTTATAAATGCGAGTTACATTGAATTAAACATGAGTTATACCAGACTATTAAATAAAACAAAAAAGAGCCTTGAGAGCAGGATGCTCACCGTGAGCCCATACCACGGTATACCAACTGGATTTGTTGAAGTGTGAGATGTTCTCTTCTGATCTGGTCTAGCTAGTCCTAAATTGAATATTGTTCGAGTAAAAACATCCTAATTTGAGCCGGTTCAACCGACCAACAATAGACTAGCTCTTAAAAATTTCTAATTTGTTGAGACCGGATACAGGATGCCGTTACTCTATAAAACGTCAATAGCTCATCCCAAACCATCCAATATCTTGTACCAATCGAGTATTTGCAACCCTCTCTCTCTTCATATTATTTACAACTTCCTCATATATTGGCTTTGATCTGATCCTTTTCCGAATTTCATTCACGTTTCAGTTATACACAATATACATACGAAGTATTTTTTTAATCTTCATTCTTATTATCTCTTCTTGAATATCTGATCCTCACCAAATTTTCTTGAACTCTTTTATAATGGTACACTCCCCATTCTTGTCCTTCAACCCTTGATCTTTTCTTTTTCTTCTTCTCTGCTCATCAATTTAGTTATTATATTATTCTTGTTATAACTTATATTCATATATTCTTTTACAAAAATCTCTTTTTTTCATGCACAGGCTATGGGGGATGAAAACAACAGTGTAACATATGAAGAGGTAAGTGTAAAACTAGGAATCTTTGACTCTTATAGTAATATAGTATTTCTCACATTTTAAGGTTATAATACATGATTGTTGAATACTGACTGATGATGTTCTGAAAAACGTTTGAGTAATGATTCAGGAATATGTGTTAAATTCGAGAGGAATGAAGCTTTTTACGTGTAAATGGCTACCTGGGCAATCTGAGCCTAAAGCTTTGATCTTTCTCTGCCATGGATATGCCATGGAATGCTCTGTTTCAATGAGAGGTTTGTTTTCTCCAAAAAAAAAAACAGCTTTTATTTAGAGGTTTGTTTTCTCCAAATTCCAAGTGGTTTAACCTTAAGAAAAAAAAAACAGGGATGTCTATAAATCCAGTGTTTTTTTTTTTAAATTTCATTCCTTTTCTTCATGTTATTTTACTCTGTGATGTTGGTTATGTTTGTTCTATAATAAACCCAATTCTCATATTTATTACTCTACCCAATTTGAATTTTTAAAATGGAAAAATTTCAAAACAGGAGTGTTATATTTTTATTCCTAAATACTCCATACTACATAGGAGATTACAGCCAAACTTGAAAAATAATGTCTATTTAAAACTTTGCAATCATAACGCTTGGAATTCACAAATAAGTTTATAACTATTTAAAACAATTTTTTTAAAATTGTAAAAACAAAATAATCTTTTATGGGTTTCAAATATGATTTGTACATATAATTATGCCTTGGATAATGTTTTGGTCGGTTCTTTGTCAGATTTGATCAAAAGAGCCCGTTTTAATTCACAAAGCCATAAGCAATAAACTAAAATTTATGTGGTTTGGTGATTTTGGCCGGTTTTAATTTTGGTGAATAGACTTCTCAGTTGGTTTTTTTGTCAGTTTGGGTTTACCGGCCCCTACACAATCACCCCGAACGGAGCTTTGGTTTATTGGTACCTTTTTGGAAAGAGTTGAAAATAATGAAATTTGATAAATATGTGTAACTAATCATGAATATAATATGCATACATAGGTGCTGCGACAAGGCTTGTGAAAGCAGGGTATGCAGTTTATGGCATGGACTATGAAGGGCATGGGAAGTCAGCTGGTTTGCTTGGTTACGTTCCCAGCTTTGATGCTGTTGTTAACGATTGTTCTGATCATTACTCCAAAATTTGTGGTATGCATACCATATCAAACAAATAACCAAATTTGACAACTTTCCTTACCTAGTTCTAAAATATCATGACATCTACATTTAAACTAATAAATACTTCATCTCAATTTGAATTTTTTAGTTAACCAAGTTCAACTTTGCCCAATTATATATACGTAGTATATTTTTATTGGAAGTTATTTATAAATAAAGATGATACGAAAATATATATTCAATGTTAAAAGTACTTTAATAAAAGTATGAAATTCATAACATCTAAATATTATATTAATCAAAATCATGTTCTAAAATTTACCACCATTAACTTGAACAGTCAAATATGACAAAGGGACAGATGTAGTACATACTTCCTCGGTTCCTCCGTTCTTAAATAAATGCAACAATCAAGATTTCACACTTGCTGAGGCACAACTTTGACCATTAATATATATAATTCTCTATTAGTAAAAATTTTAAAAAAAAATCAGATTTTTAAAATTTAAAACAAGACAAATTTAATAGTATTTTTTTCAAAAAAGTATATTAATACATCAATAAATAAAATGTAGTCAAAGTAGAACACGTGAATAGTATAAAAATTGGCATGTTGCACTTATTTAGGAATAGAGGTAATATATGATTAAAGATATTTTCTTCTTTATCTTCTTCATGCGTCTATTAAAAATTCAATCACATACTTTCTCTAGTCATAAATAAACTTCACACTTAACTTTATTTAATTTTTGTGGGGGTATGATGGTAAAGTCAAAAACAAAAATTTCACTTTATTAAAAACCGTAAAGTTAAACTATGAAATTTATTTAGGACCGGTAGGAGTAACCTTTTATCATGTTATTTGAAGAATAAGTCAATATTTGACAAGAAATTGTATGGGACCAATAAAATATTTCTTACAAAGTTACTAGCATATATATGGAGTAATTTATTGACTAGAAACTGTAAAATAAGGGGCCGGGTCAAACGTAGAACGTGTTGCAACAAGCTGGCGACTTTGATTCATGCAAACACGACTTGGTTGAGCCCATAATCTCACAATATTATTATACTAGTAGTTTAAAATATAACTTATTATATTTGTAGAGCAATTCAAGCCAGCCGGCAGTTACGTACGTGGTTAATTTAACGGCTAACGTAACTTTATGGGCTTTAATTTGCTTAGTTTGAGGATCCTGGGATTTGACTAAGCTAGCTAGGATGTATGTCTGTATGAATGAATGCAGAGAGGAAAGAAAACAAGAAAAAGATGAGGATGTTGCTGGGAGAATCAATGGGAGGAGCTCTTGCTCTTCTCCTCCATAGAAAGCAACCTCATTTCTGGGATGGTGCTGTCCTGGTTGCTCCCATGTGTAAGGTCAGTCACTTCCACTTTTTTTTGTTTTTGTTTTTTTTTACCCTAGGGGAGGGGATTTGGGGAGCCTGGGGTAAACTGGATTCAATCTCACTCCATTGAGAATTGAACCCGGGACCTCCTATAAGGGAGAGTGAGTCAGCGACCAGCTGGGCTGGACCGCTTCCTCACTTTCACTTTTGTTTATATATACAGAAATTAAAGTTCTCTACGATATGTTTGGGCACACCATTTAAGAGTGAAATATCAAGAATAATGAATAGTGTAGAAAAAGCAGAAAAATTGTGTAAAAGTATGAAATAGAAAATAAAACATAAAAAAACGTAAGAGTAATTGAATTTTTTTAAAAGAAAATAACTTACTAAAAAGGGAAAATGTAGAAATCTTTTAAATATATTCAAAAAATTAAAAGTGTAATAAATTTTAAAATAAGAGCGAGTACAATTTAAAAGTTTCCCGTACAAATGTAATTATACCCGTTCGAATGCATAATTTTATGTGACGGAAATACATGGACACGTGCCCGCACTTTAATCCATTTCCAAAGACCGCAATGCATCTTCACGCTCAAATTAAAGAATAATTAAAATACATCAAACTTTGAATGGGTGTGAGATGAACATCTCAACTTGCAAATGTAATTTAAATACCCCAAACTTTATATAAAAAGTTATTTTAACACCATAGTCAAGTATTATTTTTTTAAAAAATGTAAATTTATGGTGTTAATTGCATAATTTAAAATATTTTATAATTCTTGAAGACACAATTGATATTCTAAACTTCCATTTCAAAATAAATAATGTTACCCCCAATCCATATAATTGCAACACTTTCAATTTGCTATTTTAAATTATGCAATTAACTTAATAAATTTACAGTTTTGAAAGAAATAATACATGACAATGGTGCGAAAATAACTTTTTATATAAATTTTGAGGTATTTAAATTATATATATAAGTTTGGGGGTACTACCTGACACCCTTCAAAGTTGGAGTATTTTTATTATTGTTCCCTTTTATTTATTTACTTATACCAAAATGCCTTCGTGTTTTCTCCTTTAAATTCAAAATCTGATACCCTGTATCCGATTTTTTTTTGAATCATAATCTCTATGTACACATTTTGAATGAGAAGATTTTGGTTTAATTTTCTTTATTACATTTTTTTTTTGAGAATTTCTTACCTGTTTATTAAATAAGAGAAAATACATGATAGAGGGATTAGACCAAAACCTACCGAATTAAAAGACATAAAGATAAATAATAGTATCAAATTTCACAATACCTAGAAACTTACTGAACATGACATGATTGCTATCAAAAGAACTAAAGTTTAGAGCTACAAAGTATGCAGCTTTATTAGAATCTTTTCTTACACAGCCGAAATTGAGGTTGTTACCTCCTCCATAAAAGTAAGAATGAATCGAGTGTATCAGTTTTATGATTTAGTGACTGTAACTATGGTAATATTGTATTAAATTGGATCAAAAAAGACATTTTCGTAAACAATTCAAAATTCTCCTCAATTGCAAAAAGTGCAACACCATCTTTAAATAGTGCATCATATGCGTGCTTGAGAAATTCCTCTAAGTATAACCGTCCACCATATAAAAACATGTTGAGATGCGAACGTTATGGTGCATTAGAAAATGACTAAAAAGATGAATAATGCAATGGGTGTAGGTAATTGAATAAAATTCTTTTGCCGTCACAAAAAAGGTTTCATATGAACTAAAGGTGAAGTCTTTTCATTTCACACTATAATTAAACACGCATATAGAATTTTAATTAAATGAGAATGTCATTCAATGGAAAAAATTATGAATGTGAATTATGCAAACAAAAATATGCACCGTTGTGAATTACAGAATGTGATGATATTTTTATAAATCAATTACTAATTTTTTCCTACTATTTATTAGATCTTGATCAGAAATGTGTACTACGGAGTATAATACGTAGTACTTCATTTTTATTTCTTAAGGAAGGAAACGTTTTTACCATAACAAACTCTACATATATAGCAAAATAATTATAAAAATGCTACTTGTACACAAGAATGACAACAAGTAATTTTAGCATAGACATATATAGCAACACAAATTAATTAATGATAACAAATACTAATTTAGTTTTGTAAATTTAGTTATACCAACTTGAAACAAGAAAGAAAGAAAGGAGAATTTTAAATCCAATAAATGCTAACTAAAAATGAATTTCCTCGATCATTTTTCTTTTTTGATCATCAACTCCAAAAACTTTATTAATTTAGGTCATTAGCCAACTGGCTTTGAATACATTCCGGAACACTCGAATACGTACTAACATGGTCTGGGACTAAAACATGCACTCTAGCCAAAGCATGAGACATACCGTTTACAATAAGAGACAGAAAAATTACTCTTATTAACTAACAAACTCCTAATATCATCAATAATTAGGTGGAGATAAGAAAAGCCTTCTCCTTTTCGAACACCATTAACCACAGCTAAAGCATCTGACTCAAATTCTACTGTTTCCCATCCAGCCTACATAGCTCCAATAACAGCCTCCTTGAGACCAAAAGCTTCCGTTTCAGCTGCCGTCCAACCAGCTCTTACTGAACCACCTCTTGCTTTCAAAAAATTCCCCTCCTCATCTCTAGCAATCCAACCTCAAGCCCGTATTTTACCCGCCTCGTTGACCGCACCATCAACATTTATTTTAATAGCACCACTCGCCGGTTTCTTCCACTTATCTGCTTCTCTCGGCCCTGCCTGTTCTGCCTCCCTTGGTACAGCTTGAGCTTCTTTCCAACTAGCTAACATACATGCCGCGCCATTACTGACATTTGAAACATCATGTTTTTGATCCTTCCATCCACCACTATTCCTTCTTTTCCATATACTCCATAAAAGCGCTATAAATCTCTCCCTTTTCAACCTATCCCCGTCTGCTATCCGCAATTTAAACCAATCTTCAACCGATTTGTCCTCATCCATATTAATAGCCGCAGCCCTCCAGACATCTTTAGCCTAAGAACAGCCCCGAAAGGCATGATCGACGGATTCTGCCTGGTTGCCACACAGTTTGCATCCATTTTGGATTGACAATCCTCTATGACGTAAATTATCCACCGTTGGAATCGAACCATCCAAGACCTGCCAAATAAAATATTTAAATTTAGGAGGTACCTTAGCTTCCCACAGGTGCTTCCATGTAACGGCCGAACTGCTCTGGAATTCCCCCATCTACAACCTATAACAACTCTTTACTGAAAACATGTCATAGCCCTCCCCTTTCCACCAGTAACCATCGGCCCTGTCGGTGATGCTAATAGGGATACTCAAGATTCTCTCTCGGTCAACTTCATTGAAAAGAGAACTAATTATTTCCCTATTCCATTCCCTTCCAGTGGTATTTCGTAGAGCCACCACATTCATATCCCGCACTCTCTGCGGTTTAGCTGATACAATACGGCCTTCATCTTCTCCTGGTAACCAAGCATCAGCCCACACTTGGACCTCCACTCCATTACCCACCCTCCGACGAATATTTGTTTTTAAAATATCCTGAGTCTAAAAAATGCTTCGCCAAACAAAAGAAGGATTATTTCCTAGCTTTGCCTGCAGAAAATTAGACCGAGGATAATGCCTTGCCTTCATAACTTTCCCCGTCAAACTATTCTCATCATCGATTAATCACCACCGTTGTTTTTCCAGTATAGCCAGATTAAATTCCCTGACTCTCCTGAATCCTAACCCACCTGCTTCCTTCGGCTTACACATGTTCTGCCAGCTTCTCCACCTTAAACCTTTCTGGTCTAGCTTAGACCCCCTCCACCAATAAGCTTCTCAATCTCATCACTTAAATCCCTGGGCAATAAAAAACATTCATAGCATAATTAGGCATAGCTTGAATAACATTTTTTAACAATACTGCTCTCCCTGCTGCTCTGGATAAAATTCGATTATTCCAGCTCTTTATCCTGCTAAGAATACAATCCCTCAAATATCCCAAAATAGCTGACGTATTCCTTCCCACCAGTGCAAGTAACCCGAAACAGTTGCCATGCGCTCCATCCGAGGTGATCCCCAACACCTGGCGGCACTGCTGTCGGGTCTGATCAGCCGTATTCGGCCTAAAATTAATTGATGACTTCAAAAAGTTCACCTTCTGTCCTGACTAGATTCTCACCCGTGCGATGCACGGATGATATTTTACTCACACGTGATTAAGAACTTTATTATAAAAATGCGTAAATAATTGAATTTAGAATGAAGTGGCAAGTACTATAATAAGTGCTTATAATTAAAGAGAGATTAAAACATCGTCAAAGAATGAAAAATATACATATTATAAAAGAGATACTCCGTATAACTTTTGAAACTACAAAGTGGTAAGTAATACGGAGTATAATAAGTGTTCATTTGGAGTCGGTGTTGTGCATTTTGAAGAACCGAAAGCAATTTCAAATAGTCGAGATGAACACTGATTATGGACTCTGTAATGAACATTTTCTGTACCATAAAAGAACAAAACACAAACTCATTTATTTCAATGTGAAATACAAATATTTTTTTCTCTAGAAATAAAACGTAAACATATAAAAAAAATGTTACACATTTTTTTACATTAAATCCATACCCCACAAAAATCCACTTAACCAAAATTACAAAATATTTGCTTCGTTGTTATAAGTAGATAAGTAAGATATAATAAATAATCCATGAAAGGATTTTTTTTTAAAGTAAAATCATCAATAAAAGGAGTGAACGATAAAAAACATGACAGTCCTATATAACAAATAAAAAAACGTTACCAAAGTTTCACACCTTATTATTATGGGAATTTTCCCGAAATAGGACTAAAAAGGTTTGAAAATTCCAAAATAGGAATCTCATGTTTTTATTCCCAAAATAGAAGTAATTACTGCCAAATTTGGAAAATACTGTCATGTTTGAAGTGTGATACTGCCAAAACATGGTAGTAGTTAGTCCTATTTTAGGAATAAAAAACATGACAGTCCTATTTTAGAATTTTCAAAATCTTTTAGTCCTATTTCGATTAATATCTCTATTATTATTAAACTAAAAATGTTGACAACTTAATTGGGATTATTTGGGCTTGGCTTTAAAATCAAATAGACAGGTTGAATTGAAACCAAATCCTTCAAGAATTGACCCAACAACCCAATTCAATACGTATCATTAAATGCCTAATTACCTAGCCTACCCAACAGCCCAAACTCATCCTATATGCTCTCCAATTTCGACAAAACCCTACCCTACTAACCATTCTGAAGACTCATCGGTTAGAGCTTCAGACCGATGGTCTACAAAACTTTCCATCTACCGTATACTCATCGCTTAGCTTTCGTACTCTTGGAACATTTGCCGGCCGTGTGAGTGCGGTTGTTCGATTGTCGGCGTTCGTCGAGCTGTTAAGACGTGATGTTCACCTCACAACTATCACTGTCTGCGGATTCCACCGCTTACTCCGACCAAATTCAAAGCTCGAGCGACTACGTCCCAGTCGTTTGGTATAAATCTTTTCCTATATATCGTCCTCAATTTTTGTTCAAATATATCATTTTCGTGAACATTTCTTCTGAAAATATATGTTTTTGGTGAACATTTTTCTTGAAATATATTGTTTCGTGCACAGTACATGCCTATTTCTTTTTACCGATCTTCATGCGCTTGTTTGACAGTTTCAGCAAACATGCCTATCACAAAACGATTTTGAAAGATTTTACCCAGATCTGTAAATCAGTTCATTTTTTATTGAGGACTACAAAAATCGCATCTGTTATATTATTTAAGGCCAGGTCTGTAAAAATATCAGATATGTGTTTAATGACCGAGTACATGATTTTTTTAATTGGTGTAAAGTAATTTCTTTTATGTAAAGTGACGAATACATACTATTATCTCTAAATATTGAGATTAAGGATAATTTGTCATACATGATATTCGGTTTTGAGATAAATATGAGGTTTATAGTTAAAAAAATATTTTCATATCTTCCTTGCTTGGATAAGCTTTTTATTTTGAATCCATCTACAGTAGCAACCTAATATACTGCCTTGTGTTATATGTATTAAACTGATAAAAATACATAGCATATATATTATTTTGTACACCCTATATATCGTACATTTATATAATTATATAATATTTAATAACTCACATATCTACTTACATACGTGTATACTCACATATCTAATTATATAATTATATATATAATTGTTAACCTAGTATATACTGTATATATACTATATACATACTTACCATATGCAAAGTACTAATGTACCTTAACTATGGACCATATTTACATACTATAATTGTTATACATACTTATATAAATGTATACGAAATACTATGAATCTTTAGTATACTATATATAATATATAGTAATATATATATATATATATATATATATATATATATATATATATATATATATATATATATATATATATATATATATATATAATAGAGTATAAACTGTAATGTACCATATATAGCATAATGAAGTATAATATATAGTATATTATTTATATTTAATATACACTTTTTAAACATTATAATTTATTCCTTATTATTCTATTTTTTATGTTACTGAAATTATGTATGTAATACACTACAATTTCTGCTGCCCTCTCTACAATTCCTTCTGCCCTGAGAATACAATGATCAGATACCTTGATCAACTATGTCTTTGATCCTTTTTTATGGGAGATTATGGTAGATTTTGTGAGCTTCTTCATTTTAATTCACAATTACATTACCTGTAAAAGTGACATAAAGACAGTGATACTCAGTAATCTTAGTTTGTAGTTGTTATATATTCCTACATCATGAATGTTTCATGACATGTTCATTCTAGTTTTACAAAGTATTCAGTAGATAATTTTAAATGACATTTGCAATTTCCATTATGAAACCGGATATAGGACATTATTAATGACAAAAATGACGTTCTTTACAGCATGAGGTCTGTCTGCATACAATCTTGTGTTTGCACACTAACTTCACAAAATCTTCAGTTTTGATCTGCATTCCATGTCGAACAAAAAGCCTACACAAATGAACCAAAGCATGAAAAACACATGCTTCTTATAGCGAAATCCAAGCTCAAATTGTCATACCCAAGGCATTTCATGTTTGAATTTAGAAATGCATTCAAGTAGTAATCAAAATCAGTTTCAAAAAAATAGTTTAATTTGAAAAGCCAGGTATATCCAAACAAATAATATTTGTATGAACTATTTAAGTCTACAGAAAAAATGGCATCGTATTACCTTCGAATGAATGAATACCAATTCCGGCTTTTGTCCTCCCCTGGACTGGTGGCATTTCATATGCCCTAACCACTTTGACCTTTATAGCCCAGGTTGTCCTGGTGTGGTTCCATGAATGAATACATTCATCGATTTTTTTACATTGAAATATGTTATATGATGTTGTGTGATTGTGGGATGACTACATTCCTGGGTTTGCTGCATTGAAATATTTTTTGTGATGATGTGTGATTTTGGGATAGAAAATGAATTGAATAAGCAGGTCTATTTATACTGAAGCATGGCATGTATGTTGTGAACTGGCTGGTTTAATACACAGTAGGCAAAGAACATCGGACCCCTTATCTTTGCACATTACTTCAAAAGTTCTCTTTAGTTGTTGCTTTGCATTTAATGCCGATGTACTTTAGATCACACCCAATATTTTGTACTGCCCAATGAGATATGTTCGTACACTTCATTTAATGCATACATTGTGTTGAAAGGATCAACTCTTCGATTTAAGCTCAAAAAATAAACTTGGCTGATATTCATTTCGTTTTCCAAAGATCAAACTGCTTTTGTATTAAATGAGCCAAAAAGTTTTGAAAAGACACATTGCAACAAAAAAATAAAGTATTCGTAGACATCACTTTTACAGCATGTTTGAGCTACTACTACTAAAGTTTTGAAAAGACACAATGCTGCAACAATAAATGCAATCCCATACAGCCTCCCAAAGCAACAAACATTTAATTATTTTTTCGCTCAAGACTTCACCCACGCTGTCAGACCCGTTTTTGGACCCGAATTTACATGTCTGACCCGGTAGTTTGGGCGGGAATTTGGACTGCTTTTCCACAGCAGTTTGTATATAGAAAGATAACATCTCATAATTGTTCAGAATATTCTTGATCGTACTCGTCTCCCCTGGATTAGATCTGAAAAATAAAAAGCTATCATCTGCAAAAAAAATAAATGTGAGACTTTAGGCGCACCCCGACAAACTGCCACCCCATGTAAATCTCCACCTGTTTCGGCCCTTCTGATCAACAAGCTCAATCCTTCCGCTACTAAAATTAACAGGTATGGCGACAGAGGGTCACCCTGTCTCAGACCCCTCCCTGGCTTTATTGGCCCAATGTTATCTCTATCAAATTGGACATAATAATTAACCGAGGACACACATTCCAGAATAAGGTCCGTCCACCTTTCTGAGAAACCCATCTGATTCATTATCAACTTCAAATACTCCCAGCTGACTCTATCATATGCCTTACTCATATCCATCTTCAGGGCTGCAAATCCTTCCTTCCCTTTCTGCTTTCGCTTCAGAAAATGTTGCGTCTCAAAAGCAACCATGATATTATTATCCACAATGGATCTGCCCGGAATAAAAGCACTCTGGTTTTCACCAATCAAACTCCCCAGTAAGCCTTTCATCCGATTAGCAATAACCATAGGGAAAAAAACTATACACCACATTGCAAAGAGCTATTGGTCTCCAATCCCCCATATTCTCGGGTTTATCCTTCTTTGGAATTAAGATAATATTAGTGATATTCAGTTCTGGAACAATGGTACCTGAGTTAAAACTGTCCCTGCACAGCCTAACAATTTCAGGCCCCACAATCCCTCAATACTTTTGAAAGAAAGCTGGATTCATCCCATCAATTCCTGGTGCTTTATTTGGATGCATATAAAATGCCGCAATACGAACTTCCTCAGCAAGAATCGGTTGCAACAGCGCCATATTACACTCGCCACTCACCTGCCGCATTGGTCCAAGCTAATCAGCCGCATGTTCCCTCCTTGGCTCCGTGAAGATCCCTGCAAAGTAAGCATGCATCATGTCGGCCAACATGTTCCAGTCCGTAACCCAGCTTCTATCTTCCCTCCGCAATCCTACAATTTTGTTCTTCCTTCTCCTTGCCTTGACCGCATTATGAAAAAATTTGGAGTTGATATCTCCCTCTTTTATCCAAAACTCCTTCGCTCGTTGTTTCCAATACACATTCTCCTTTTCCAAAAAATCACATATTACCACCCTTAACTGAATGAATTCATCCCCACTATGCGCGTCATCCCGACCCCCATAGCTATGCAATATGTCTTTTACACGCTTGGATTTGGTGTCTGAAACCCTTTACTCGGCTGTCATCCCACCTTAATAATTCTTTACCACAAAAATTAATTCTATCACATATCGGATTTGGTGTATGAATTTCCTCGACCATTAAATAGTACTCCCTCCGTCCCGAAAAGGTTTGCCAAATTTCCTTTTTTGGATGTCCCAAAAAGATTTGTCATTTCCAATTGAAGTAAGGAATATGTGGCTAAAGTTAATTCTCTCTCCTCTGCACAAATTTCAACCACACAATTTTTACTTTATTAATCCACATGAAAGTCAAAGTTGGCGAACCTTTTCGGGATGGAGGGAGTAGTAATTATACAAATTAAATATAGCGTTTAAGGAAATAAAATTTTAGTTACTTTTTGATAAATGATAAAGAATATTATAGATTAATGAATTTAATGTACTTGATTTGATGGTATATAAGGAGGTGTTTGAAAGTGCAGATCAACACAGAATCAGTGTAAATCCATTTTGCAATTGTAAATTTATGTAAGGATCATTTTAACCAATTTTTAGGAGGTAGATTCTATGGTACCCATAAGGTACCATACCTTTGTCCACATAGACCAATCAGAATGTTACAGTTGAATTATTTCAGTCTAAATTAAAAATGATATTAGAGTACATGATCATTATTTGATCAATTTTAAATTTTGTAAATAACAATTTGTCTAATATGTTAGCTTGGAAGTTAAGCCAAGTAGTTAGTTAGTTTGGCAGTTGTTTGTAATCAGTCTATATGTACGATTGATACTCCTTCAAGGAGAGTAATGAAGTTTTTCATTTTTCCTCTTCATCATCTCACATGCACAAATGCTAATATGGTATCATATGAAAACCTTTCTTTCTTCATCGTAATCTCTCTTATATGAGCTCCGATTTTCAGCCATGGTGAGCAATAGGTCATCAACTGATAATCGTGATGATCCTACTCCTGATTATCTCAATAATCCCTCAAATCCTTTGTATCTTCATCCTAGTGAGAATCCGACATTAATTATGGTTCCGACACTACTTACAGAGAAAAATTACCATTCATGGCGTCACAGTATGATTGCAATGCTGGAATCAAAGAACAAGGACATGTTCATCGATGGATCACTTCCTTCACCTGCATCAGGCGATCCACTTCGCGAACCAAGGAGACATTGCAACCGCATAGTCATGGTCTGGCTTATGCGTTCAATGTCTTCATCAATAGCTGAATCAGTCATCTATTTTGACACTGCACATGAAATCTGGAAAGATTTACAAGACCGCTTCTCATAGCATGGTGATGTTTTCCGCATAGCAGATCTACAGGAGGAAATCCAAAACCTACATCAAGGCACTGCTTTAGTTACTGACTATTTCACCAAACTCCAATCTCATTGGAAAGAACTTGAACAGTTTCGCACACCTCTAATCTGTAAGTGTTCAAGTCCTTGCAGTTGTGGTGTTCTTCAGAAGCTCATTAAAGAAAGAGAAAATGATCGTGTTATAAAATTCCTTCGTGGTTTGAATGAAGCATTTTCTCATACACGCTCACAGATTATGATCATATCACCAATGCCTTCTCTCACAAAAACTTCCAATCTAATCCTTCAACAAGAACGTGAATTTGGGGCAAATTCATCAAACTGTCAAATATTCAAAGCCACAACATTAGCAACGTTCAATGACTCCAATTCTACACCTACGCATTCATCAGACAACGCTTTTAAATCTCGTGGAGGCTTTAATCAAACTCGTGGAAGATCTAACAATTCTCGTGGTGGTTTTAACCCTAATCGAGGTGGAAGAGGACATGGCTCTGGAAGAGGAAGAGGAAACAAATATTGTGATCATTGTGGAAGGAACAATCACACACGTGACACTTGTTTTGAAATTCATGGTTATCCACCTGGTTACAAAACTGACAACTCATCTTCAAACCCCAATTCATCTGCCAACCAAGCTTCTATGGATCAAGTTGTTGACTCTACTGCTTTTAATCTGGAGCCTCATAACCAGGATCAATTTGTATTGTCCAAAGAGCAATATCACAGTGTTCTAGCTCTACTCCAACAATCTCAAATTCAAAACTCATCTCATCCTTCCATTCATCACACATCTACTTCTTCTTATAAACTTCCTGGTAAACATCCTTCCTACATTAATTGGATAATAGACAGTGGAGCCACTGATTACATATGTCCATCACAACACCTTTTTTCTTCCTTACAGTCTATACCCCCAGTTCATATTAAACTTCCTAATGGCTCTTCTGTTATGTCACAATTTTCAATAACCATCAACATAGGACAATTAGTTCTTCATCAAGTTCTTTTTGTACCTAATTTTTCTGCTCATCTAATCTCTATTCCTAAACTTCTTTCTGATGTTAACCATTTGGTTATCTTTGATTACTCAACCTGTTTTATCTTGCAGAAAACCACATTGAAGAGGATTGGCATAGCTAAGAAGCATCAAGGCCTGTTTCAGCTTTCTTTTGATAGTCATTTGACTGATAACTCATGTAATAATGTTGTTTTCAATACTGTGAGTCCAAATAATACTGTAGTCGGTCATGTTGACACATCTTTGTTATGGCATCTCAAGTTAGGCCATGTTTCTGACACTGTCCTTAAACAATTATCCAATCAATACACATATATTCCTTATGCTTCTTTTCAGTGTTGTGATATTTGTCATTTCTCCAGGCAAAAGAAACTGCCTTATCAAAATGGCACAACTAAATCCCTCAGATTTTTTGAACTCATTCATGTTGACATTTGGGGTCCTCTATCTGTTCCATCTCTTGAAGGATACATATATTTTCTTACTGTGGTAGATGATTTTACCAGATTCACTTGGACACACCTTTTCAAAACAAAAACTGAAGTCAGACCTATATTACAAAGCTTCATTCTAAAGATTGAAAATCAGTTTGACACCAAACTTAAAAGACTTAGGTCTGACAATGGTAAGGAATTTCTCCTGCCGGATTTCTTTGATAACAAAGGCATTGTCCATGAAACTTCATGTGTTGAATGTCCTCAACAAAATTATGTTGTGGAAAGAAAACATCAACACATTCTCAATGTCACTAGAGCCCTTTTATTTCAAGCTAAACTTCCAAAGTCTCTTTGGTCATTTGCTGTCAAACATGCCATTCATATCATCAATCGAGTCCCTTCTCCAGTCTTAGATCAAAAATCTCCTTTTGAATTAGTCTTTCTTTCAAAACCAGACCTTACACAACTAAAAGTTTTTGGATGTCTTGCGTTTGCTTCAACTTTAACAGCCAATAGATCAAAGTTAGATAGCAGAGCTCATAAGTGCATTTTTCTAGGCTTTCAAGAACACACAAAGGGATATATTCTCTATAATCTGCATTCCTGTAACACATTCATT